TTGCCAAATTTAATTTGCCACTCATGATATATTGGTAAGTCTTACACTAATTTCCAAGTTTAAATTCTCGATCGGTTTTAGCCTTTACTAGCTTCAAAATTTTATTTCTGCAAATGTCCTAATTAATTAAACTACAGATGGGGATTTGTTCCAATTTGATTAAATATAAGTATAGTAATTGTTTAGAAAAATAATTAGGATTAAAAAAAATAAAACCAAGGCAATTCCTTAGACATTTGACACCATATTTGAATTTCTTAAAAATAAATAAATAAGGCAATGTTTTAGACATTTGACTGAATATTTTTCTATATTAAGTAACAAATTGGTCATATATAGTTGGTTGCGATTGAAACAAAAATGGTGGAAAAGATAACAAAATAAATTAAAAGCCTTTAAAAAAGAAAAACCCTACTCATTTGAAACAGGGGAAAAATTAAAAGCATTGATCATATAATCAATCACGTCAAAGGCACTTTATATGAATTTTAGGAAATTAACATGAGTTGTGGGCATGCATCGGTTAATTTTGTAAAAGGAAAAAAAAAAAGGAGCAATCTTAGGAGCCCATTAAACTCGGGGTAGATCCTCATTTATTGTTTTGAATGTGAGGAAGGGAGCAATGCAAGGGGGAGAGCCTAAGAGAGGAATATGCGGAATCGGATGGTAGAATTTCCTTGCATGCATGGTATAAAGGAGGAGGGTACGCAGCGCATTCCAGATGTAGAAGAAGGTAAATCTCTCTTCTTAATTATAGAAGAAGCGAGATTAATTGTGTGAGGGGGGAAGCTGGGGAAAGCGTTACCCGATCCAAAATCACACACAAAGATCAGAGATGGCTGGGGTGATGTTCATGGTTTTGCTTTGCCTCTCTGCAGGAGCAATGTTGGGAGTCCAGGGTGAAGACCCTTACTTGTTCTTCACATGGAACGTCACCTACGGCACCCTCTCCCCTTTGGGGGTTCCCCAACAGGTGATTCTCATCAATGATCAATTCCCCGGACCCAATATCAACTCCACCAGTAACAACAACATTGTCATAAATGTCTTCAACAACATTGATGAGCCCTTCCTTTTGACATGGAGCGGCATCCAGCAGAGAAAGAATTCATGGCAAGATGGAGTGCTTGGGACCAACTGTCCAATCCTCCCAGGAACCAACTTCACCTACCACTTCCAGGTTAAGGACCAGATTGGTAGCTACATCTACTACCCAACCACAGGCATGCACCGTGCAGCTGGAGGCTTTGGCGGCCTTCGCATCAACAGCCGCCTACTCATCCCTGTACCTTATGCTGATCCCGAGGATGACTACACTGTCGTACTTAATGACTGGTACACTAAGAGCCACACTGCTCTCCAGAAGTTATTGGATAGCGGGCGCTCTCTTGCAAGGCCTGACGGCGTCCTCATCAATGGCAAAAACGCTATGGGAGATGGCAAGGATGAGCCTCTCTTCACAATGAAGCCTGAAAAGACATACAAGTATAGAATCTGCAACGCTGGGCTCAAGAATACTCTCAATTTCAGGATCCAAGGCCATACGATGAAGCTTGTGGAGATGGAGGGCTCCCATGTGGTGCAAAACGTGTACGAGTCACTAGATGTCCATGTTGGACAATGCTTCAGTGTCCTCGTGACAGCCAACCAAGCTCCCAAAGACTACTACATGATGGCTTCCACCCGATTCAATAAGCAGGTTCTCACCTACATGGTGGCTTCCACCCGATTCAATAAGCAGGTTCTCACCGCCAAGGGCATCATTCGTTACACCAACGGCAAGGGTCCAGCATCACCTGAGTTCCCTGAGGCACCAGTTGGATGGGCTTGGTCTCTCAATCAATTCCGTTCCTTCCGCTGGAACCTTACAGCCAGTGCTGCTAGGCCTAACCCTCAAGGCTCCTACCATTATGGTTCCATCAACATTACCCGCACCATTAAGCTCGTAAACTCGGCTAGCCGAGAAGGTGGCAAGCTTCGCTATGCCCTCAATGGCGTCTCTCACGTTGATCCAGAGACACCTCTCAAAATTGCCGAGTACTATGGGGTTGCAGACAAGTTGTTCAAATATGACACCATGCAGGACAGTCCACAAGCCAACATTGCTCACGCTAAGATTGTCTCACAACCCAATGTCCTTAACCTCACTTTCCGTAACTTCGTAGAGATCATCTTTGAGAACCACGAGAAGAGCATGCAATCATATCACTTGGATGGTTATTCGTTCTTCGCAGTCGCGTAAGTAATTAATTAATTTATTAACTAAACACACGCAGATGCATGCAGTGAATGTCTTTAAAAAACTTACTGTGAATATTTATAACCAACAGAGTGGAGCCAGGCACTTGGACCCCTGAAAAGAGAAAGCACTACAATCTTCTTGATGCAGTGAGCAGGACAACCGTTCAGGTCTTCCCCAAATCATGGGCTGCCATTCTTTTGACATTCGACAATGCTGGAATGTGGAACATCAGGTCAGAGATGTGGGAGAGGGCTTATCTAGGACAACAGCTGTATGCCAGTGTTCTTTCCCCTGCTCGCTCCCTAAGGGACGAGTACAATATTCCTGATAATACTTTGCTATGTGGCCTCGTCAAGGACTTGCCAAAACCCGAACCTTACAGCGTCTAATATATAGAGCGGCTGATCCTCCATGTGTTAACCCTTTCCAATTTGTTGCCATAACTTCCTTTTTTTCCAAATTATTATTTTTTTCATCAGACAATTGTTCTGTTCTTTCTCCCTTTGATGTAGTCAGAATACAATATATATTGAATTCAATAAAACTTAACCTTCTGCTTCTCGTACATGTTTTCTTTAATCTCAAAGACGAGGTCTGTCTCGGTTTACGAGTTAGTAATTTTAAATGTTCAAGAAAACAAACAAATTTAAAAGGCAATGTCTATGATTATCTTTAAAACATTAATAAAATAACAATATCTTGGAGTTATAAACCATGAATGTTTTTATTTATTTAGTGTAGGTAATGATTTATCTACTCACTCGGTCAAAAAGATATATCTTATTCATTTTGTAATTTAACTAATTACTGATCTATAATTATGATAATAACTGATAATTAAATATAATTTTAAAAATATTATTGTTATGTTATCAATTGGAGTAGAAAATATTATTTAAGTAAATAGAAACTAAAAAAATATCAGTGTCCATTTATTACCTTTTTCCATGAAGTCTTGATAGATCTATCATCTTAAGTGTGGAACATAGATGAGGTATATGTAATACCTTTGTTCACTTTAAGGTAGTCGGTGGAAAAAAATCAATACATATCTCAAGAACTAATTAATAAGAACTGGATCTATTATCAAAAAAGAAAAAAAAAACTAGATCATCCAATCCTAATATCAAGAACTAAAAATCTTTAAAGAAAAAATAAAAAGTAGAGAAATTAAATATAAAATCTACAATCACAAAAACTAATTTTTTTTCTTTTAATGATTGTACAAGAAGACAATAGAAAATTTAGTTTAATGCTACTGATGGATGACCAGTACTAGAATACATATATTGAAGTGGTGTCATAGGTTATTATCAACTATTTTTTAGTTTTATTTATCTATTTACTTTGGTATTTTTTTTGTAAGGCTATAAGTAAAGAAGTCTTCACCATAATTATAGCTTGTCAAACTGTCAAAAAAACATGAAACAAGTTAAAAGTTGAATTTCATCGTGATAAAAAAAGGTCTAGAAAGATACAAATTTTGAATTTCAAAAGACATTTTAAAGGTACGAAGATGAAGGAAACAAAGATTATCAAAGACTTCTAAAAAAATCAAAGATTATGAATCAAATAAGGCTAACGAGGGAAGATTTTTTTTATTCAAGGATAGTAGAAAAGGCTCTTGTAAGTTCTCTCTAGAAGACTAAATGCATTAAAAACTGTGGAGCAATTAAGACAAGCTCACAGACAAGAAGGCACAAGTGAAGAAACCTTTGTTGTAGTTTCAAAAGAAAGGAGTCAGGCAAAGAACTCTTATAGGAGAAATCAAAAAGGAAAAAGAGAAAAATAAAGAGGTTAACAATCAAATAATTGGTAACAAAGCAACTACACTGAAGGAAAAGAAAGGAAAGCACTTATCTCCTTGCAAATACCATCAAAAAACAAATCACTTTGAAGTTTATTGTTGGCTCAAGAATGCATAATGCAAAAAATACAAGCAATTTTGCCACATTTAAAGATTTTATAAGAATAACGCAAATGCAGAAAAACAAGCTCAAGTTGAAGAGAATTCAGAAGCTAAGTAAGAGCTTTTGTTCATGACAATAATAGAAGAAGTGTGTATCATAACCAAGGTAAATAATTCATCATGGCTTGTTGATAATGGTTGTACTAATCATATGACTATAGAAGCTATTCATCTAAAGTCAGAATTAGTAATGAAGACTATGTGAAGATTGAGGGAAAAAGAATGGTTGAAGTAGAAACTTTATCATGTATAAAATCTCTAAAAAATGTAGTTTATGTACCTAAAATTAATCACAATCTTATTAGTGTTGGACAACCAATTCAATTTGTTTACTCATTGTTTTTTTTTAATGATAGAGTGTGTGACATTAAAGACAACAAAGGAGTATCATTGCTCAATATTAAAATGATGGATAAGAGTTTTAATATTGATTGGAAAGAACTCTATCTATGTGCTAACACTATTGTTGAAAATGATTATTTTCTATAACACAAAAGGTTAGGGCATTTTAATTATGCAACCTTAAAAAAAATGGTTAATTTACATATGGCCTCTAGTTTACCAAAAATACAAAAACAAAATAACAATTGTAAAGCCAGTCATTCAGGAAAGCAGACGAGAAGTGTTTTTCTTGATAATATTTTTAGAGTTTCAGTAAAACTCCAATTAGTATACATATATGTTTGTGACTTTATGCAAAATGAATTTTTGAATAGTTAAAACTACTTTTCTCTATTTATTGATGATTATAGTAGGTACTGTTGGGTTTTTTTAAAAAAAAAATCTAAGGCTGATGTATTGAATTTGTAAAGTTTAAGATACTAGTTTAGCTAGAAACATGAAACAAATTAAAGGTGTTGAGGTCTAGCAATGGGTTTGAGTATTTGGTTAAAGAAGGGATAAAACATTAGTTGACAATGCCCTATATTATATATTAGAATGAGATTAGTGAGAGGAGAATTAGAATGTTGAACATGGCAAGATGTTTGCTATATGAGAAGAAAATGCCTTTAAAATTGTAGGTTAAGGCAGTGGTTATTATCAAAACCATCAAAATTAATTATGACTTTTCTTTTTTTTTAAAGACTTAGTTCTTTTTTAACAATGTAGTGAAGCTAGGTCGAACCCAGTAAAAATTATTCTAAATCTTCTTATAAAAAACTAAAATAAAGACTAGGGTTTAATAAGAAAATTATAACTCTAAAAAAAAAACCACAAAAGATAATTTATTGTTTATGTACTCGGTTCAAAGATATTGTCCATTCAATGAATTAGATTGATCATCGAATAAAATAAATATTCTTTTAATTCGAGCAAATACTAAAATTCCTTTAAGAAAGGAAGATAAAAAAATATTAAATTAATTACAAAAAGTCTCTAATTAATTCCTTAACATTAATTGAATTAAGATTGAAAACCAGTTTTTATATCTGGTTACAAAAGCTTTAAAAACAAGAAATGATCAAATATTCCAAGCTATCATTAAAAAGCTTAATAATTTTTACTTGTCTTATTCTTTTAACATAAAAGTTAAATTAACCAAATTCATTTATTTTTTTTCCTTCTTGATTCAAATCAAAAATTACAAATTAAAAATGCATAAAAAGAAAATGCCTACTACAGAAGCTATTCAAAAAGCTTAAATGAAAAACAATAGCTTACATACCAAATTTAGGCAAAATAAAAACTTGAATGTCCAAAAATAAAGTTAGAAATATCTCTTTTCACAATCTAACACAATAATGGAACAAAAATCCTCTAAATCAAAAGCCAAAGTTTAGTTCATAGCAACTGGAAAGTTGAAAAACAGAGAAGAAAAAAATGTCGCCTCTCTTTTGTTTCAACCATGTTTTGCTCTATTTATTCTTTTCTTGCTGAATTTCTTCATGATTCTTAGGCTAATTAAGAATCCTTATGCTATGTAATTCCTTCCTTGTTTATCTGATCCTTAGAGTTGGTTAAATTTCTCAGAATTTATGTTGAAAACGGACTTGTTGTTGTCATAACTCTATTGTAATTCCAACTCTACTGTAAAATAAACTTTGTTTTTGACTTGGCTTCTTACACTACCCGACAATCTTAGCTTTATTCTTTCATTCATGACATGTTAAAGGTTTGTCCTACCCCTTTTTTGAATCTTAAAATAAACTCTGTTTTTGCATTCTTTCATCGTTTCTATGTTAGACTCTTAGCCTTTAATGGGATGCTTGACACCTAAAAAAAAAAAGAAACAATAGTGTTAATAGCAAATATTTTATGAATTCCTTAAACTTTGTTGATTCTTATACAGATTCATAATATGCTTATTTATACTTAAAACATAGTATAAAAAAATATTATAAGAAGACTAAAAATATATTTATTGTATGCTTATCAAGCAGTAAACATAACATCCTTCCCTCTCAATCGCATGGTTATAAAAGCTTTGGAAGATAAGACTTCCTATGAAATATAGTATGGTTTAAAACCCAATGTTAATCATTTAAATGTTTTTGGCAGCCCTTGTTATGTTTTGTAACTTAAAGTTAAGAGGAGTAAACTTGATCAAAAGGCAAATATAGGAATTCTTATAGGCTATAACACTTAATCTAAGGCCTATAAAATCTATGATTTGAAACTTAATAAGATGGTGATTGCTAGAGATTTAAAATTTTCAGAAAGTGTTACGTGAAACTGAAAAATTGCTTTAACTGAAAGGCCAAAACAAAAGCAACAAAATGAAATGGTTGATGGAAAGGATGATGATGTTGATGACAAACCATTGAGGGGGACAAGGTCTTTAGATGATATTTATAGCTGATGTAATGTCGTTGTAATAGAACCAACAAATTTTAAAGAAGTAATCAATTCAGAAGTTTGGGTAGTAGTAATAAAGAAGGAGCTCATCATGAATAAAAAAAATCAAACCTGGTTATTGATAGATAAATTAGTTCACAAAAAGGTAATGGGCATGAAATGACTTTTTAAAACAAAATTAAATACAGATGGGAATATCAATAAGTACATGTATTGATAAGAACCATGTATTGATTTCACTCATACTTTTTCTCTAGTGTCTAGGCTTGATATGATAAAAAAATTTTCTTGTTTTAATAGCTCAAAATGCTTGGCATATCTTTCAATTGAATGTCAAATTTCTATTTTTTAAATGGCTTTTTAAGTGAAGAAATATATGTTAAACAACTTAATGGTTTTACATAAAAAAAATACAACAAATAAAGTATATTTACTAAAAAAAGCTTTATATGAACTTAAATAGACTTCTAAGGCTTGGTATAGTAAACTAAACAGTCACCTTTTAAGCTTAGGCTTTGAAAGGAATACGAATAAAGTAACTTTGTATGTGAAGCATGCTAGTAAACATTAGCTGATTATGTTAGTATATGTAGATGATTTGTTAATCACAAGTGACAAAAAGCAACTGGTAGAAGAATTTAAAGTCAACTTAAAGGATAAATTTGAGATGAATGCACTTAGTTTGCTGACATATTTTTATATGCACGAAGGTAACTCAATATGCACATGGTTATTTCCTATATCAAAAGAGATTCTCTTTGAAGCAATTAAATAAGTTTGCAACATAAAATTGCAAACCAATTAGTACCTTTATGGTACAAAGAAAAAAGTTTGAAAAAAAAAAGGATGGAGTTAAAAAACTATATAGTAAAACTTATAAAAGTTAAAATCACTATTTGACAACGAAAAGAGTTCTAAGATATTTAAAAGACACTATCGAGTTTGGCATATATTTTGTGAAATCTAGTTTTATTAAACTTATTTTTTCTAATCATGATTGGGTTGATATAATAATGAACATCTTAGGATATTGTTTTGCTCTAGAAGGAAGTATTTTCTATTGAAATTCAAAGAAGCAATCATTAACTGGATATTCTACTGCTAAGGTAGAGTGCATAGTATCGTATCTGACAGTAAAGCAATTGACCTAGTTAAGGAAAATGCTAACTCATTTGGACTTTAATCAATGAAGTCCCATAAAATTGTTATATAATGACGCTTTAGCAATAACTATTTTATAAAATTATATTTTTCATGATAGGATGAAAATTAAGTTTCATGCTGTTAGACAATTTTAACAAGAAAGGGAGTAGAATTAGTTTATTGCACCTCATCAGAATAGTTAGCATATTTATTTACCAAGTTTTTAGCTAAATTTAAAGCTACAAGGGATAGGATTGGATTGAAATGTGTAACTTTGGCAGCAAAACATCGAGGAGGAGTGTTGGAGTGGTGGCACCAAAGCTCAAAGCTCAAGGTTATTATCAGCAATTTTTTAGTCATATTTATCTATATGTTACGTATTTTTTTTGGTCATGAACTTTAGGCTTAAGTTTAGCTAGATATTTACTTGACTTAGAATAAGTCTATGTAATTACATAATCCCTTAGGCAAAGAAGGATATAGCTGTTATGATTCTTTTTCTTTATGATAATTGATAAACATCTTGTAATCTTTGATTTGATTTTATCTATAAATAAAACTTGATGGATGGCAATAACCTCCAAGTTCTTGTTCTGCTCTTGCTTCTTTGTTCTTCGAGTAGGCTACGTTTTCTAAATACCATTTAAAAGGCATCTTTACAAGCTGTTGAGAGAGACATGAAACTGAAGCTGGACAAAACATCTGCAATAAGCATTATTGATAGATGTAACAACCTTGCCAGTGCCACACTATCAAAAAAAAAAAATTAACAATTACAATTATCTGATTCGTTTCTTCTGTTATTCACTACATAGAGCGCACTGTAAACTACCTCCGAAACTTTTCTGTTCATCATCATACAGATAAATCGGATTATTAGACTTGAATGAGACAAAAAAAAAAAATAGGGAAGATTGAAAGAACAGAAACACAAACTGACCACAGTCACACCCTAATCAAACATCTACTTTGATGTGGCAAAGCAACGCCTTGACAGAATACAGAGTGATATGCTTCTCCACAAACCCACTATAGTCTTCACCATTTCCTTTTTTCTCTTTATCTCTCTCTGCAAACCTTCAAATGACAAGCATTCATCTTCGAGGGGGGTCTATAGTCCGAACATTAGCTCCTGTCATTCCTTCAATTCGATCTTTGGTTATCTCCACAAAATGACCCACAATCTCATGAAACTGCTTCAGCCCAGAAAGTGGGAGAATTATGGAGGACCTATCATTACCTGCAACCTGCATTTCGACAACATTCCATCACGATTTCAAATGGACACCACTAGCCTTCACTTCACAACACAGAATCATGGATACGTAGCTTTCCTGGCCCTGTATAGGGGCACTGCCCCTTGGCCATTGGTACCTCTTCTTAAATAGAAATTTACATTTTATCAAATATTAATCACTCCACCCTTCCCACGGCCAAGAAGAAAAGGAATAAAAACTCTCATTGGACTATAATTAAAATTACTCTTAAAATCTCACCTCAGAAATCCTTAGAAAATGACCTCTGTTGTTGCTACCCAGATCAAAGAAGAATCTTTTCTGATCAACTCTGATTACCTTTGACACCCCCAGATTACCAATTTCATCCTGTGGGGGCAGTTCAACCGATCTGTCTACATTCAGTTCAGAAGTAGGCGCGGGTGATTGGCTACTGTGCCCAGATATGAAGCCAGCCCCTACGTCATCAGAAAGTCCAACAAGTTGCTCTGAAGTTTCAGAACTTTGCTGTTTTGGCAAGCATAAAAACAGATGGATGAAATAATCACAAGTGAGACCCCCTTAAAAAATGAGAGAGTTTTTAGGGGAAGAAGGGAAAGTGATTGCACATGTAACACCGCGTCACCTGATTGGGCAGCATAAAAAGTCTTGATGCTTCACTGATCTCAGCCAGAATGTTCCTAAACGCTGCCCACCCTTCATCCCGCGAACTTCCAGCAGGAATAATAATAGTACTTCGGTTTCTACTGACAGAAGCTTCAGACACCTGTACAAGTATGTCTATTAGAGAAGTGAACTTCGATCATTGTAGCAAGTTGAATAGTCCCTGAAGATGGGGAAAAAATGTACAAAGAACACCAATTTCCTTTCTGTTTTTTTTATCAAAGTGACAGCATGATTAATGTCTGAAAGTTCTGCTGCTCTGTCACTCTTGCATATGTTCAATCATTCTTTTGCACACAAATTACATCTCCTAAAGGGAAAAAACCTAAGCAGACTTTGTATAACTTACCCAGGAGTTTTGAAAGAATGAGCAAATGCTAGTGAAGATCAAAAAAATATGTCAAGATGTTATTACATTCTTTTCCTTGATAGTTTTTCTTCTCATATTTCATTGAAGCATAAATATGGCTTTATCTCTTTTCTTTTTTTTTTGGTTATAAACTTTATATAGGATGAAGTTTCTTTATCATGTTCCATTAATTCCCATAAAGTTCCCTCATTAAACAAAATTACAATGTACAAGTTAGGAGATTTTGAACCATGTGTTGAATTTGTGGCATCAACAAAGACTCCCAAAAATAAGGGGTGTATACAATAAATTATACAATGACAGAAAGAAAGGTTTTGAAGCTGAAGGGAACAGTAAATTTGATAAAATATACAGCTTCTTTAAAGGAACTTTCCATAAAAGTGGATTTTCAGGATATGCATAGCAATCCCTCTAGTAGAAATCTGATCATCCCAAGGGATAGTGATTTTGATGCAATGGCCACGAATAGCCTAAAATGGTCTTATAGGTTGCAAGTTCATACTAGGTTCTGGATCCACTATAGATGTGTTCAAGCTAGAAGAAAGTGAAGGTTTTGGAGAGTTAGATGGGGATCTGCCAAAGTTAGATAGGGGTTTGCCACCAACAATTATGCAGATAGCTTAGCAGATGCATTTATAGATTTGTGAGACAAAGCTACGCCCAAACCAATAACTTGGCAATACAAGGCCATAACTTCCAATTCCCCAATATCAGGTCCCGAATATATTGTTTGAGCCAGCGTTGTTATTTTTCTGAATTTTATGTTGCTTTAGGATATCTTGTTATTATTCTTTTTATTTAAGGATTCTGATTTTCTTTTCTTGTTAAGGTCGGTTTCTGAGATATAAACCTCTTAGAGAGGCAGAATATATCAAACTTCATTATCATAAATAAACGTACAAATTAGGGTTCTTGTTGTGTTAACCCTATTATGTCAAACTCTGTCATTCTTGTTGTTGTCTTCTTTGTTTTTGTGTTTCCATCTACATCACAACCAAGACAAATTTTTTTCACTAATTGACGTTGGAAGGTATGAGCACATCAAACATTTACTAGAAGAAAGCACGTTCTTGAAAAGAGTTGGCAGCTTGCAAACTATAGTCATTGTATAGTTGATAGAGTAATGCTCAGAGAACTTATATAAAGGCGATTGCAGCTCCCTAGAAGCTCTCTTCCTAATAGCATGTCCATGTGCAGCATATAATGGTCACAACAGAGAGAGAGTTTACGAGAACAGTAAGACCTACGCAAAAATCTTGTTTCCATTTTGCTCTTGTGATTTAGAATGACCAATGTTTAGACGTATAGATGTATCTAGACTTTTGTTGAAACATCCAAAACTGGGAAATGTACAAACTCTTTCATACAAAAGCCAGCCACTACATGAAGACTGGTTGTATGAATCCTATACTCTGCAAGGATTGTACGAGATTATTGATATCCTACCAATTTGTCCTCTTTTGATTATATGGAAGAATAGCATAAGAGCATGGAAGTTGACCATTTAACAGCAAGTGCAAAGATAAAATCCTGTCCATGTGTATGTTCTTAACAGTTCTCAAAGACAGCGCCTAGGTTGGCCTTAATTTCAAGTACAGCATTATTATTATACAGGAACTAGTTATTAGTTGGAGGAAAAAATAGAAAACTACTAGAAGGAGGGAAATATAAAAAATTTTGGAGAATGAGTTTCTCCAAAAGAACAAGCTAGAGGCAACCAAAAGAAGGGAAATAAAAGCACCCTCAGATCTTCAGGAATATGGGTAAATGAAATGCCTATAAAGGCTCTTGTAGCATCATAGCGGAGTGAAAGAAGAAATGCTTATCCTATTTCTATCCTGGGTAAATAAATTTCTAGGAGATGACAAGAGTAAAAGGAGCTGTAGTCTTGGCAGCTGCTTCACGAAGAAGAGCCCACAGTGTGGCAGAATGATATTAGGAGGTTAAGAGCTGGCAAGCCCTCTCAATCCGATGTTGGGATAGATAAAAATAAGTCCCAGGTAACGACATAATCTCTCTCTAAACCTTAAACCGTAGACCATTCCACGGAGCATAAAAGGCTGTGTATAGATAAGCATGGCTTGTTGTCGGGTCTGCTTAACAGTAACAAATAAGACGCATAGCACAGTGTCACAGCAAATAGATTGAGAATCAATGTGGTTATTAAAAGCAATAAAATAGGAAGCATAGCATAGTTTTATTTTATTATGTGGGGAGCAATGATGTAAATTTTGGAGGGGGAACAGTATACCTTCAAGAAGCGGCCCCTTCTGTTTTCACCAATGTCAAAGTAGAAAACCTGACAGTAATGGAAATGGGAATTCATTAATTGGAATTTGGAATGAATGGTAACGCTATTGGTGATTAGAGATAGGGGTAACAGAGAAGGACTGTGAATTAAAAAGAATGCCTTGGTGTCGAGCTGCAATTCCTTGCTAAAGAGGTCCTGATCATCAGCAGAATTATCAACGTAGTGATTGAAGAGATCCAAGAACCAAGAAATCCCAGAGAAGGGGACGATGATGGTGGACCTGGTGGCTGAAGTCTTCTCCGATATCTTTAGGTAACGACCCCGAGGATTCTCTTTTAGATCAAAATAGAAAAGCTTGTGTTCCACTTGTAGAGTCTTACACATGAGCTCAACATCATTCCCTCCTCCTCCACCCGCTGCTGCTGCTCCACTGCCACTACCTCCACCAGAATTCCCCTCCATCTAGTCTACTAAATAATAACAAGTAATTTTGATTAAAAAAGGGACTGCTGATGGAGGAGGTAGATCTGAAAGATAACGATAGATTGCCACACACTCCAATCGGGAAGAGCAGGAGCAGCAAAAGCAAGAACAACAATAAGAAGAGTAAGATGTGGAAGTTAGAGGTTTAGGAGGAAGATCGAGGAGGAGGATGGCGTAATAGAATTTTGGTTTAGGGTTCGGAGAGAGAAGAGAAGAGAAGAAAGGAAGGGGAAAAGGAGACACTGAAGCAAGAGGGATAGTGAACGAACCACCATACCATTGACTTGGCCCCATTTTCATTTGGTTTAAAAAAATAATAATAATAATAAGGAAAATATAATATGACAGCCAGTCTAGTCTGTCTGGTAAAATAAAATTACAACTACTTACGACTCTCTGTCTCTCCCTCCCTGTGAAAAGTGAAGTGAAGTCTCCCTCCTCCAACTCAGTGAAACTCTTTTGAACTGAACTCAAGTCAAGGACTGAACTGAACGACTAAAATAACAAGAAGACAAGGCTTTTATTTATTTATTTAACTGGTCGCTTGGAGTTGGCGAGTAAGCAGGGCCCTTAATTTGCACAATTCCCTTGTCTTGTTTACCCCGTCTATGCATTGCTATTACTCCTTCAAAAACAAATATAGGATGCAATTCTACTTCTAAAGGTTACTAATCCAACTTCCGGTGGCGTTGGATTACTAAATGCTGTAACCATCTCAAAGCCTGCCCTACCTCACATGTTCAGCAGTCAAGCAATAATACTCACATTGACATGGGAATGGCTTCGACGTCTCATTTCTCAGCAAGGAGTTGTGTCTTTGCAAAATCAGCATATTTTTCTTGGCCTGTTGGTAGATTTTCATGTTCACACATATCAATTTTCCTTTTCCTTTCCTGCTTCCAATTCTTTGTTTCTTGTTATAATTCCAGGTATGCAGAGTTGGCAAGTTCAGTTGCAAAAATGATTAAAACACAATGAGCCTGTTAATATTGAGGTTCCCTTTTATTTTAGAAAGACGAGTTGAAAGATAATCAGCTTGTTTGACACTCCTTCCTCCAAAATCTTGTGTAGTTCTATTTAAATAATGCCGCTGCTACATTTTGTGAGTTCTCGTTCAGAAAAATAAATAAATAAATAAAATTACAGATTGGACTCACAGCATAAGAATTTTTTATGCAAGATAGCGTCTAGGATATCCCACTGTTGTAGCCTTGCCAGGGATAGTAAAGTTGAAATGAGCATATTGTATACAGACAGAAAAATAAATATATACATTCCACAGGTCGTCTTCCACTGGAGCTGCTTCAAAGCATTAAACCATAGAAGAAATCATGGTCAAATCCCAGGTTATAAAGTCCTAATCCTAGAAGAGCACTGGAGCATAAAATCTCGATTTTCTGCTTAACAACATGGCATATTCCTGCCCAAAACATGAGCAAATTGTAAGAAGATGAACTGTAACGTAACTAAATAGGAATAACCATAAGATATAAGTTGGTTTTTATTTCATGGAAGTTACCTTAGAGGTTTTGTTTTTAAATGGTAAAGAAAGAAAGAAAAAACGGCGGGGGGGGGGGGGGGGTTGTGGGGGGGGGTAGGTTTTGTGGATTTGGAGGTTGGCCATTGCTCCATTTATAACCATGAACATGGTCAAGACATGAGAGAAATATTTAGTTTAGACATTGAAGTTTTACCTGTGTTCTGTACTTTTCCTTCTGGTTTACCAAATGGCACAGCAAAGTCCTCATGATTTTCGCTGTTCGTAAATAAAGCTCTTTGAGATTTCAACTGAAGAAGGCCATGTCTTGTCTCTTTCTCCAAGGGTCGAAAGGAGTAAAAACCTTGAGTTTCACTGTCTTCCATATTTGATTCAGTGGGTGCTTTCTGACAGCATGGTTCCAGTTCTAACATGGAAAATGAGGCTCCGGAATCTCTTTTTGAACAAACAGAAGTAGTATATAACTCAGATGGATAGCATTCACTGCACCCACTGTTCTTTAGCATCAAACAATCTGAACTTTGTATTTTTCCTTCCGGTGCCTGTGTAGTTGACATGACCCCGTTTCCATCCTCACATTCTTCAAGTCTAGGAGAACACTCATCTGGTGGAGAAGAGGTGTCATTTTCACTATCCCTTGTTAATGAGCCATCCACAGAATGCTGTATTTGTATCGTTGTTTCCCCTCCACTTGTCTGTAATGGAGTAGTAACATCGGATCTTGAGTCCTCATTAAATAAATCTCTTAACATCTTCAGTGGTTTTTCAATGACCACTTCTGATATGGGCTTCCCAACTGCAACTGTAGTTGCAAGATTATTTAATTTATCATGGTTGACAACTTCTTGCTTTGTATACACATAGTCTTGCACTTTCTCTTCTGCTTTGCTCTGTACATTAGTCTTATGTTTCCTCTCAGGAATTGGAACAGCTAAAACCCGTTTTGTCCTTCGACTGCAACTGCTTAGAGTGGATTCACTCTTCTGTAGATGCAGCCAATTATCAACCTTCGAAAATTTGATGTGGTTAATTTTATTCACCTGTCCACTGCTATTTTTCTGGATGTGACTGATGCCAACCTTTTGACTAATCAAACTTCCTAGTGCTCTTTCTTGTTCTTGGAGACCGTTAGATTTAAAATCAGTTTCGGATGCGACTTGGCTGCATTCTGTTGCACTATCAGCACTAATTTTCAAGTTCAACTCCGCCAAACGGCTAGATCTGGAAATGCTGCGCTCTGAATTGTATTCTGAATGATACTTTACAGGGAAACTCACAGACTCCGCGCGATGAGATGTTGGTCTTCTCCTTCTTGTCAGGACTGTGTCATCTCTTCCTTCAGAAGTTTGATGCCCCGTCCCAGATTTTCTTTTGCTGCAAATGGTTGGCCTCATAAATCTTGGTACCTTTGATAAGGGAGTCACTGTAATATCTACTATCCTGCTCTTTGTAAGCTGTTCTTTGATTAAAGAATGGAATGCCTCCAGTTGCTCCTCAGACGATGGATTTGTCCCTGTTAGATTTTCTAATTTCTTGTTTAATTTCTCAATGTCACTTCTAACAAGCAGCCGTTCATCTTCAATATGTTTCATCTCTTGCTGCAGATCTGCCATTGCAACTCCCTTTTTCTCTTTCGCTTCCTGATTATCAAACGTTCACCTCATTGGTCAGTTCATCTATTATTTTATTTTACTCGCTTCACTTAAATTGTTCAATAGAATATGAAAATCTAATAATTTTCATTAGATTATATTTAACAGACTTCTTCTGGACTCAAAACATAGTCGTGGAAGAGTTTCTGGAGTTATTAACAAGTGATGTAGTTAAATTTTATAATTTGACATCATGCAAGCATATTCCATTAACCTGTTACTTAATGCATTTCGGACTCAATGCTTGCTATTCGCTGCATGATGATAATGTAATAAGCACAATCTTAATCAAAGTTTTGTTTTTTTTTTGGTCTACTTACAATTGTATCCTCATTTCCTAGATGAACGCTTTTCACCCTTGTTGCAAAATTTAAAGAACATATGGTCTCACACAAATCTTCTTCTTTGGGACTGACATGGACCAGCATAATTGTTTTTGAATCATCACCTGAGGATAGCCGCGGAGGGGACTACATTAGCAAGGAATATTTAGATGGAAATGAAGAAGATGATCTATATGACAATGAGTTATTTTCTTCAAGAAGTCACATATCATGAAAGGAATATATAACAGATATGAGAGAATTAACTCTGATAGAAATTGTTGTTTGAGAATTAGTAGGGTACTTAAACAGAGATGAGAACAGAACACCCCGCGTCTGGTTAGCGGCTGTAATCACATAGACAGGAGTGTGGACATGATTAAGGATAGTTACCTAAAGAATCTTTAAGAACCTGTGTCAGCTTGCTATTCCTGTCAAGAGTAAAACCATAAGTTAGCTTTTAGTTGGGACTCTGGAGAAACCATAAGAACTAGTAACAATTCTATGACTATTTTAAACAACCAACTGCAGGCTCTTACTTTGATGGAAGATATGAACGAAATAGGGTTGAATGGCCAAAAGGCCAAACTCTCATATACCAAGAAATTGAGTGTTTGGTGAGCTCACTGTTACCTGTAAGGTATATGGTGCCTTTTCCTTTGGAGGGCACTAATCACATCCCCAAGAGCAGAGAGTGACAGATTAATGGCTTTCCCTTCATCGAGTCTTTTGCCCCATGCCTTTGTCTTCAATACACGCTCGCTTCCCCCGAGGTCAACTAACCATAATTTATTTGTTTCCCGTCGCCTTTCAGTAGCATCGAAGCAAGTTATTGCTACCCGTATCATGCTATTGTGAGCAATATATAAGAAACAAGATTAGAACAGAGGATGATAACTGCCTTTTCTCAAAGGATGTTCTGGAATCAGTACATATATCAAGACAACTGCACGACTGGCTGTTTTTCAAGCTCTATTCTCGTGCTGAACTGCACTGACTGACATACAACAGTCTAATCAGGTAAAGTCGATTACCAGTGAGATCTGCTAGATGTCAGGTTGGAATTTGTGGAGGCCGTTGTTCTGAATCGGCAGCCCAATCTGTACAGCCTCAGAGCTTGGTTGAAGTCGTTCACCTTAATGGCCACAAGGTTGTCAATTTCAATTCCTCCCTTTGGATCTGTTTGAATTGAAAGGCTGTATTTAGAGATTTTGGATCGTGTTAGAAAGGATGGCCTTAATACATTTAAAATGATTAAAAATGCAGCTAGATAACCCCGTGCCTAGAAAACATTTATGATCTGAGAATATACTGTTCTGCAAAGGCAGGTTAGTTACTGATTTACGACCTGTTTCTTACATTGATTCCAATGACTGGTAGATTAGCTTTGTGGACTCTTAAAGAGAACAAACCTTCTGTTAATTCTAGCAATTTCGCTAGTTAAACTTACCTAGGTGGCATCGGGTCTGTAGCTTTTGTTGGTTTGGGGACAAGCAAGTCCTTTAGATTCCCCATGTAAATCTCAAGCATACTGAAACTGATGAGAAATGCATGGTTACAATCCACTGCTTGCTTAAACAGAGCCTCAATAGCCCGTGGCACTATGCCTGTAGTATCTGCACTACCTTCCTATTATTTATTAAACCAAGAACAACATACAGTTAGAAGAGTCAAACGTAGATTGAATACCTTAATCCATGTAGAATTTTGTCTTCAGCATAGTGTGTGCCGTTAGGACTCTAGTCAAAGGGCTGTGTAACAAATAACATCTGAAATACCTAAATATGTTGTGAGTGAAATCTTAGATAGTTAGTTCTTACCATTGTGAAAGTTTTTCCTGTGCCGGTTTGCCCATATGCAAAAATGCAGGCATTGTAGCCATCAAGGACTGATTTGATGATGGGTTCAACTTCTGTAAAAACTTCATCTGGAAATTTCCAACTATTAAAGCATGGTCATGTCAAATGAAGATAAAATAGCTTTCTACTTGCTTTTTGTTCAAGGAAGAATAAGAAACGAAATCACCAGAGAGACTTGATCTTCGTCAAGCACCTTGGGATGAACCTGGGTGGAAAACCTTGTCGAAATTGTAACTCTTGCTCTTATTCTCCATAAGCTTTAGAACAACTTCATTTGAATTCGATGCTACAACAGGTCTTAAATGACCTAAATTCTCCCCAAATGCGATAGGTCTTATTCGACAAAATACACGGATGTTCCCTGCAATGACAAATATGATGAGCATATATACAATTGTAATCAGCTTTGGCATGTCCTGAAAACAATCTATCCTGGCTTTTCAGTTAGTTGAAAGCAATCATCCATGCAATGACTTGTTGGAATGGCGTGAAGTAAGTCCAGCAACTTGTCTGCCTCTACTCAAGCTATCAGTCACTATTAAGGTGACAAAAACATGATCATGATTTCGTAGAAGCCAAGTCTCAATTTATGGCTGTTTCGCTGCACAACTTGATAATTTTTTATGCTCGTTGAATCATTGTAAAGAAACCTGACTAACCTTTCAAGTCCAAGAACTCATTTAGGATCTGCCTCCTCTTTATGTTCAGTTGGTTTATGTGGTTATTCAAGACAGTCAGTTCATCTGTTCATAGAAAAAATTTATAGAAGAGTGAGCAGTAAATATAAGAAGAATAAGGGACACGGGAGCATCTAGATTTATGAAGGAAAAAAAAACGAGGGTTTTTCTTTTACCTCGTATTTTTGAAATTGAATCACCATCATCATCGGTATCAGACTTGGTTGGCTGCATGTCAACTGATTTTTCAGATTGAAGGGTTTTTATTATTTCAAAAACTGATTTAACCCAGTTGGAAGTCAGATGTGCCTTTAGCCCAAGTAGAGAATGAAGGGATACAGCATGATTTCTAACAGATTTTCCCGAATCCATCTTCTCTGCTTGTCAAGACTAGTCTGTGGAAAACACATATATGGTTTCTTTGTTTCATTCATCTACATGACCTCCAGCCCTTTATTTTAAGTTCACAGTCGGCAACTGAACACGAGAACTATAGTCTATAAACAGTTGAAATAGTCTAGTTTGAACAAGAACCTTGACTTTCAGAAATAATAAAGATTGAATGCTTCACTTTCTAGAAATGGCTGAACCTATAAAGAAACTAAAACTATAATTAAGAACTGAATAGCATTATAGCAAAGGCAGGAGAAATTTCTTGCATGCCAAGTTGTTGAAAGTTTCTATATGCTACCATTTTGTATTGAAGAAAAAAAGGACAGAAAATGATCTCAAGAAACAGTCAACAATAGTCTGTTGAATGAAACAGGGCAGCTAGGGAAGTAAACAATACAAGAAGATTCAATCTAAGCTCTCTGCTTACTGTTACTCTTTAATTTATTTCCTACTCAAAAAGAAAAATGTACAATGATGCGTAGAATTATATTTTAACACTAATGAATTGAGGAGAAGCACAAAAGGAAATAAAGTTAAATTTTGGGGAATGAGGATTCAGATAAAAGAAAATACCGGTAATATGGCCATGGTATTTGAGACTTAAGCTTATCCACAACTAACATGGCCGATCCTGGACCAATTAGACACATGCATGATGATACAACATTAACAGAAATTCCTTTCCTTGAAAAAGGAAAAAAGAAAAAAGAAAAGGCTTTGAATGGGAACAGAAGTAGTCCTGATGATATGAAATATAGCTAGCAGAAGGGAAGAGAAGCGAATCAGGCTATGGTGGTGGTGTTGTAGTGAACTACAAGTAATATTTGTCAAGATTGCTCCAGTTATGGCAACTGAAAATAACACTGTTTATCTGATCTATCTATCTGAAACCCCATGTGAGAGCCAGCAGATATGAACACTAAAGCATTCAATTATGTGTTGTGATGCTACTACAGATTATTAATATCGGTGGTCGCTAGCAAACATCGTGACAAAAGGCCTGTCTGCCTTGCCTTGCAGGAATACTAGAGAGAGGAGAGAGAGTTGTCTATGGTGAAGGGCACATATATACCATTTATGCATACCCAACATAGAGGATGCATATGATAATTCACACAGCCAGCACTTCTTCTTTAGATGACTAATTGGGGTGAAAGACTATTCATGCTAATAAATAATGATATTACCGGTTGATCATGATGATGAGCTGCTGCTATGTATTGATTAAAGACTTGGTATTTAATTCCAGTGCTAGCTCACCAACCATAACAATAGTAGTCTTTGGATTGAGTATGCATATATTTATGATCCAACATTCATGATCTCATGGCTACTTAATAATTGATGTGCAAACCACGTCTCAGAACCACTCACTGGGCCAGAGAAAATACGGTTCCAACCTACGATAATGACACAAACAACAAGGAAGTTAATAAATAAACAGAGTGACTGGTGGGCTTTGATACTTTTTCACAAATGAATTTCCTTCAACTTAAAATAATTTCGCGTTCTTCAAATTAAATATGCAAGTTACACAAGTCATAATTAACCGATGGCCACCAACCCTAGCTATGGACGTTGTCTTTTTCGAAGAATTTCACATGCACAGATATATGTACTGGAGTACTGCCCGAAACTACATGGTATTTATTAAATGTTTAGATATGTGGATTGGTCCTGACAGAATCCAATGTCCGAAGCCATCGATCTCTGATATTACTTGTATTATTCCTAACAGGAAATGGGAGATCCCATCAGGGTTTTCAATTTGCCACCTTCGGAATTCTAAACTATAAATACTAGAGAGAGAGGGGAGTTTAATTATTATGCTATTCCATCATCGAATGAATGTTTAGAGATGTTGGGTTGGGTTTCGTTCCCAACATATTCATGGTACTGAATCAAAAAACAATACTATCGTCTGCATCGATCATACACAGTCTTGTTCTCAATGCGATGCTATTGGTTGCTTGCATGGTGAGACTCGGGCCGGCCACCTAACTGCATTAATCCTTGGGTTGGTGGGCAATAAATACCAAGGAAAGTAATCAAAGGCAACTTAACCAGTTAACGTTGGTGCGGGCTGGTAAGCTAGGTGGTGTGAAGGGTTAATCTCCATATTGATCGAGATCTCCGTTTTCAATATTTCTTTAGTAGAATATTGAATATTCAAAGTCGAGGATATATTGATGTGGGGCTAGCTCGTTAATTAGGAGGGAGGGCCAAAATGAAGTGACGAGGGGTCCAAGCCAAGGGAGTGAGGGAATAAGAGTTGGTTTCTATGTCGTACATTAATGGTAAAGGTGTATAGGTGTGGGGATATCTAGGAAAGGAACAGAATCCTATTCTAAACCAAAGTCCTCACAATCATATCATCCTAAACAATATTCTTTTTTTTAAGAAAAAGTCTTGGTTGGTGGAGACGTGGGAGTTCTAATTGAGCACAAATATGCAGGGATAACTGCAATTCAGTCCCCAACTCTTATGTTTATTAAACAGACCAGATCATTCATATCCTCATTTTCAAGATCTAGCTAGTGGTTTCTCCCCCATCTACTTCCCTTGGTCTTAACAATTCCATCCCTCATCCGTTTTCGTATGATAAAATTGAATCTATTAACTCAATTTCATGGATAAGATGCATATTTTAACTTGGAAAAAGAAAAATAATCAATCTACAAGCATAATGATATCACGTGATTCTATACATATATGTATGTATATATGTATGTTTTACTGTGTATACTGGGTCAAAAACAAAAACATATAAAAAAACACAAACAAACATATTCACGTAGCTCTTCAAAATCGAGTATGTCTATGGAGGCAACAGATTATATATTATTGGAGAAATGATATGAACACTCAACTCAAGTCAGTACAATCCCATAAAACCTAGTGTTTAACTCTTACACTTGGTATTTATCTCAAATTTGCTCTTTCGCACTTTTGAAGTTGCACTTACCACACTTTCACACCTCTTGCTTTCACCACACTTACACACCTGTTGCTCTCTCTTTGCCTCCATTTATAGAAAAAATAAAAGTCTTGGCAGCAACCGATAATTATCAAATAACTACTACAATAAATAAAATGATTGAAAGTGATATTGGTTGATAGTGGTTGAAAGGTGAGTGATAGTGGCTGATGGTGGTTGAATGTTGGTTGAAAAAAATGTTGATAAATTTGCTACAAATCTCCACCTTGGCAAGACTTTTCCATCTAATCCTCATGATCAATCAATGATGCCTCTAATGCGTCATATGGCACTGAACCCTAAAGGTGCTGAACACCGAGAAATGTTGACCAAGTCCAAACAATGTTGAAATTTGATCCTTGAGACATATTTTGTGAGCATGTCAACTGGATTATCTGTGGTACTAATTTTTTGTAGCAGAATATCCCCTTCATCAACAATTTCTTAAACAAAATGAAATTGAACATCGATGTGCTTGGTGCAGGAATGATGAACCCGATTCTTTGCAAAACAAATAGCACTTTGACTATCACAATGGACATTCACGTGCTTTTGAACAATTCTCAAATCTTCAATAAACCCATGTAACCAAATATCTTCCTCGAAAGTTTTCATTACTACCATATACTCTGCTTCAGTTGTTGACAAAGCTACTGTTGATTGTAACGTTGACCTCCAAGTTACAGGCCTTTTAACAAGTGTAAACACATAACCTATTGTGGAACGATGCTTGTCTAAGTCACCAGTATAGTCCGAGTCCACATAACCAACTAAATTTAATCTTAATCCATCATCCCTCTCAAACTTCAAACCAATATCAATTGTGTCATGAATGTATCGTAGAATCCACTTAACTGTCTGTCAATGACCCTTTCCTAGATCATACATATACCTGCTCACCATACTAACTGCATGTTAAATATTTGGTCTTGTGCAAACCATCATATACATTAATGCACCAACTATATTTGCATATGGAATTTAAGCCACATGCTTGTGCTCTTTCTTAGTGCATGGAGACATTGAAGCACTTAGCTTAAAATGAGAAGCTAGAGGTGTACTTACATGCTTAGTCTTAATATCTACCTCAAATCTTTTTAGAATTTTCTTCAAGTATTGGATTTGTGTCAAACAAACTATGCCCTTTCTTCTCTCTCTTTGAATCTCCACCCTAAGAATCTTCTTAGCTTTTTCAAAGTCCTTCATTTCAAACTCAGTTCTTAGTTGAGCTTTTAGTCTATCAATCTTCACCTTGCTCTTCGATGAAATCAATATATCATCCATATATAAAAGTAAATAGATAAAAAAACCATCAAGAAGTTTGCAAAAATATACATAGTTGTCAAACTGACTCGTGTGTATCCATGTTCCATTATGAACTTATCAAATTGCTTATACCACTGGCAAGGAGATTATTTCAATCCATATAATGAATTCTTTAGTTTACAAGCCTAATTCTCTTTCCCAGTAACTTTGAAATCATTTAGCTGAGACATGTAAATTTCTTCTTCTAAATCTCCATGTAGGAAGGCAATTTTCACATCAAGTTTGGCTAACTCCAAATCAAACTGAGCAACCAATATTAGCAGAATACGAATTGATGAGTGCTTAACAATTAGAGAGAATACCTCATTATAATTTATCATCTCCTTCTGAGCATAACCTTTTGCTACTAATCATACTTTGAAATGAATATTATCTTTTTTCAGGATTACTTTTCTTCTTGGTATATACCCACTTGCAACCAATTGTCTTATTTCCCCTAGGGAGTTGTACCAAATTCTAAGTTTGAATCTTGTGGAGAGATTTCATCTCTCCATCCATTGCCTCTTTCCATTTTGTGATTTCTACATCTGTACTACTTCTTTATAGGTGTAGGAGATTCCATCATCAATAACTGGATATGCATAAGCCATCATGTTACAATACCGAGTAGGTTTCTTGATAAATCTTTTTGGTTTACTCATTGCAATGGATTCTTATTGTGTGATTGTTAGAGTTGTTGCATCCTCTTCATTTAAACTTTCATATGAATTTCCTTCAGTAGGGATTGTTTAAACATTCTTTATAGGAATGACTAAAGTCTCAAACTCCACCTGTTGTGCATCACTAGACTATTTTTCCTTCTCCTATGTTTTCACTTACTGTAACATGCCGACTCATCAAAAGTGACATCTCTACTTAAAATTACTTTCTTTAAATCAGAACACCAGAGTCTGTAACATTTTATTCCTCTATCAAAGCCCAAAAATATAGCTTTCTTGGCTCTAGGATCTAGCTTGGACTTGGTAACATGATAATACGTTGAGCAACCAAATATATGCATTAAGTTATAATCATTTACAGGAGAGCATGACCATACCTTTAAAGGAGTTCTTCCAAATAAGGGTATGGCTTAGTGCCTCGCCCCAGAACACTTTGCTTCGTCCCGAATGTGATAGTATACATCGGAATTTCTTCACGAATGTGTCATTCATGTGTTCTGCTACTCCATTTTGTTGTGGTGTTTTATGTATAGTAAAATGTCATTTGATCCCTTTATTATGACAAACTTCAAAGAAAGGATTTGAAGTGTACTCTCCACCATTATCTAACCGAAAAGTCTTAACTCTCTTTCCAGTTTGAGTTTCCACCATTTTCTTCCATTTCAGAAAGATGTCAAGGACCTTATCCTTGTGTTTCATCATATACACCCATACTCATCTTGACAAATCATCAATAAAAGTAACAAACCACCAATTACCTCCAAGAGATTCATTCTTTGAAGGTCCCTATAAATCTATGTGAACATAATCAAGAATCCTTTTTGTGTTGTGTATTATAGTGTTAAATTTGACTCTTGTCTGTTTTTCAAGAATATAATGCTCACAGAACCCATGTTTCCCAGTCTTGACACCTTTTAATACACTTTGCTTGACCAATCCTTTCAAAGTCTTTTCACTAGCATGCCCTACGCGTATGTGCTAAAGTCTAGAATTATCTACTTCACCATCTTCTATGCTTTTAGAGACAACTGTTGTACCAGTAACTATAGATCCATCTAAAAAATATAAGTTTCCTATCCCTGAGCCTCTTAAGACAACTAATGCACCACGGATTGCTCCTAGGACTCCACCATACATGATAATCTTATAACCACTGGATTTTAAAACTTTAAGTAAGAAGAGATTTTTCTTCAAGTCATGAACATACCGT